GATCCAGTTCTCTATCTGCATTACACTTCTCTCGACTGCCTTTTAAACAATCAATATCAACCTACACTTCTATCCCAGTTGTGATCTGGGCAGTTAAGGTTTTGAATCAGTTCAGGAGGGCATTTACCTCTACAGAGTTACCGTTTTTGGCACCTGTTTCAATCATATGTTTATTCACTCAGTAACTGATCCAGCTTTTGACACCTGGGTCTTGAGGGGAGTGCATTCACTGTGTGACCTCTATGTTGACTCTTTTGAACAGCTGGTACAGAAATTTAATATTCACAAGTCACAATTTTTCAGATATTTGCAGCTGAGACATTTTGTGAGGTCTAACTCTGATTGTTTACCTTTGTACCCCTCTAAACATTTTGTGGTTAAGATTTTGGAATGCAGTTCTGATACTAAGGGGGCCCTTAGTAAGATCTATACACTGCTCAGTATCATTAGTCCAGTTTGGACTCATTTAAACTGAAATGGGAAGCGGACTTGGAGCAATCCATATCAGACTCAACATGGAGAAAGATCATTAAGAACATTTATTCATCCTCAATATGCCTGAGACAAGCTGTAATTCAATTCAATGTATTGCACAGGCTGCATTGATCCAAGGACAATTTGTCCAAGATCAAAGCCGGCTTGGACCCTGCATGAAATCATTGTAAACAAACTCCAGCTACACTCTTGCACACATTCTGGACCTGTCTCAAACTGCAATCCTTCTGGCAATCTGGGATATATGGGAAAACTGTACAACCATCACCACTCATTTCACTGTTTGGGGTGGTCCCTGTGGAGACGTCATTCAGAAAGTACGAGAAGGATGTGATTGATTTTGGCTCGCTTTTGGCCAGGAGATTAGTTTTGTTCAACTGAAAGGACCCACAACCCCAGCGTATGTACAATGGATAAAAGAGGTGATGTATCATATCCATCTGGAAAGAATAAGACACCCTGGAGGGTTCTGTTAAAAGATTTTGGAACACTTGGCAGCCTTTTGCGTTGTATGTGAAAGACATGTCAATGCTTGGATAGTTCATTTGTTTGTGTGTGACTGATCCGGTACGGGTGGGAAGGGGTGGGGGAGGTTGTTCAGTGTTTTGCTTTTTTGTTTGTTTTGTTCAAAAAAAGAGCAAAAAATCCAATAAAAAGGCCTTGATAAAAAAAAAAAACAAGAGTGGGACAACATTCCCCCCATAAACAAATGATGACTATGAGAGAATGTTGGTGTAGATTGTCATCCAGGACATGGATTTTTATTCTGTAGATGAAGACATTTCAGGTTATGAGATTCTGTTCCTCTGTTTATTAAATCATGCACACTGATTCAATATCAGTCCCCTCAGTTTGTTAATCTGTGAATGCAGATTTACTAACATACATCTTTGTTTAAGAGCATGCAATAGCTTTTTTTAAGTAACATTGAAATGTTGAACAATTTTTTTTTCCATGTTCTCTAATTTCAGAACAAGTCATCAAATGTTTAAAACTGCAGGAAAGCAAACAATACACTATAGACAGTTTCTGGTAGTACAGTATGTTGCCATTTATTTTCCTGTCAACATTGAAAACAAATCTAAACACAACAGCTGCTGCACATACGCACCAATGTTATTGTAACTCCATGCATACGATTTACTAAACTGAGGGAATAATTTGCACAATCTCAAATTAGATTTCCACCAGTGAGCCTTAGAGGGTTCTGTAATATCTTGCACCAAGCATTACAGAACTGCACGTCATTTGTGCCTGCCATCCAGACACTCTTAACAACTCATATGTCATGTTGCACTTAATCTTAGTGACTGGTAGCAGCCAGAATATAGGTTCACAATTCCATGTGTAGGCTACCATTAACATCTGCACAGATTAATGTGCTTGGAGTATTGCCATAACACGAATGTGTGAATTGATGATATGTGGCGCTGTATCTTGCATTTCAGTCAGCTTTACCTACCATGAATGATCATTGTGTGTACGTACTGTATGGCAGCACAGAGGGGGAAGAACTAATGTGAGTGTTGTAGATACACACAAGTGTTACTCCTGGCATCATGATGTGAAGATACACAATATGTACCTTATACCTCTGATAGTGATTACCTATGGTCTATGGATTGCCATTGTAGATGAACAGATGCTGGGATATATTCATCATTTAACACGGATTCCTCATTTTTCTGGACTGAATAAAACGTGCATTGAATTTAAGGAAATGTAACGTGAGACGTCATTTATGTTTGACCCATCAAAATGAATGCGGTCATTTATTTACAGAATCAAAGTTTAACATCAAACATTTACATTAATTTGGCAAATTATGAAAATAACAACATAAGCAATCAATCAGGAAAAATCATACGGCCATGATTCTTCCGTTGCTGCACCACAGACATTTATAAACTGTACAATTATGATCTTTTACCCACACGGATGTGAATAAGCACTTTACACAGACATTTCTAAATATCTGGAAGAATTTCTACTTGATAGAAAAGTTTAGAGATGAAAGAAGTTTAGAGGGAGTTAAGATGGTATGGGAGGGGAAGAATGTTCACCAGAATTGACACTCTCCATCAGAACTCAGCTCTCCATCGGTACGCTTGGTAGGAAACTTGATCCATTACCTTTCTGAAGATTCATCAGCAGATATGGAGTTCCGTTAACGCTACCTGTCCAGCGTCTCCTGATTGTGGCTGTAGCTCGTCAGAAGTAGTGGCTAGTGATAGTTATAATCCCATGGAACTCGGAAGAGCTTTTGTCATGTCAGGATCATCCTGTCTCCGACAGAACTCGAGCAGAACCAGCAGAAAACTCTCCAGCAGAAAACTCCCACCGAACTCTAGCAACTACTGAACTCCAGAACTCTTAGAACTCATAGAACTCATAGAACTCATGTAGTTTACAGAACTCCCACAGAACTGACTAGACCAGGAAGTACTGACATTTTAAAGACTCTTTCCCGGTTCACTTTTGGGAGTTGTTCATTGGTCAGAAACGACCAGACGGGGTGTGTTTTGTGACGTAAGAGGTTAGAGACAGCGAGAATTGTTATGAGACAGATCAGAAATGTTCTCACAGACAGAGAGAGTTTTGTTTTGGCGTGTTTCAGAAACAGGTGCAAAACATCTATATTTACGTCTGAGAGGATTCTAAAACATGACAGTTTTAACATAACAACTTGTTTTTCGTTTGGCTCCAACCTTGGAAACGCACACACTTGCTCATTCAAAGGCAGAAATCAGAAAATGCATAAACTCTGTAACAGCTTTTAACATGAGTTCTAACTTTGCATGAGAATAAAAATCATTACTCAGTTAATAAAATTGATTAGTTCACTGCAACATCTAAAATGGTTTGAACTAAGACACTTTGATTATCAACATTTGTAAAATAGTAATGATAATAAAAAGAGAGTGTTCTTTTCACTTGAATCTTCAAGAAAGAAAGTCTCAGGATGGGTGAACCTGTATTTATGGATTCAAATACATGAAATGACAGCTTCTGTCCCACAAGGTTCTTAAGGTCAAGAGTTTTGACCTTAGACTTAGTTTTTGACATAGGCCTAGTCCACTACACCATCAACTGGATGTCCTTCTGTGGTTAACAAGATTCCTTGATCTTTCCTTAAGCAAGCATATGTCCAGATCATCTTGGACTTCAACTGTGGTCCACTATTGATCTGCTGGATTTTAAAGACCAGCAGCTGTGGGCCAACTTGCTGCAGGAGATGAGCCAGTTCTTCACCAAATCACCACTCATATCCAGATTCAAGGGGTGTCAGTCTTTACTAACATTGGACCTGCAGTGTGCCTGTACTGCCAACTCTGTTGTCCGTTTGATCTGACATTGCAACCATTGCATAACAGTCCCATGAACATGACATAAACATGTGAAGTGGTATTTAATGCTCAACAATGTCTGGATGCTTCACTCTCTTCTAGTTGGTGAGTAGAGTTGTAAATTAAGAAAACAGTGAGTCATTAACAATGGGATCACCAATGGTAGAGGACCAGTTTAAACCAGAAAAGGCAGATGATTGGATTAGTAAAAGGACAGTTTGTCCTCAGCTATAACAACATCACAGAATGTGGTAATAACGTCATTATATTTTATTTTCCCTGACAAAAGGCAATTAATATAATTAACATCTGATCAACTCTGAAACCTTTTAGCTATATATTTCATCCTCTAAACCAGACTAAAATGGTCTTGTGCAGCTTATTCAGCTCATATTTATGATCACATGGGCATTCTGTGCCATGCACTATAAAAAACTCCCATTCAAAAGGTGGCACCTTCTGTTTAAAAGGAGAACTGCAGTCAGTGCCACACATCTGGAGCACAAATACAAACAGAAACACCACTCTCTTGATGTCAGAATTTGCTCCAACCATGAGTCCTGTGCCAATTTAATTCTGAATAAAGGTACTTTTCAAACAGGATAACAATACATTGTAAATAAATAAATAAACCAGTGGATTATTTCATAAGTCATGAAGGTTTCTGAGCATGCACAAGACTTCATAACAAAGTTGGGATGGTCCATCATTGGGATGACAGCATGTCAAGTTTCTAGATGGAGCATGGTGGCAGTGTATCCATGAGTCATGCACCAATTTAGTTTAGTTAGTGGGGATTTTAAGCAGGAATGGCCATGCTAGCTTCATGTCTGGGCTGCAACTGTGATTGTGAGAAGGAAATGAAAACATGTGACAGTAGTATCTGTAGCAGTTGTGCACATAGTGAGGTGAAGGTGTCTCAGGGATGCTCTCCTGCACCTAAAATTAAATCGGTCTCTATTGAATGCTCAACCAAGCATTTTATTTTTTTGGTGAGTCAAAATACATTCATCCAGAAAATAAATATATTTTGTGCTCTGTTGCTTGGAAGGCAGCAGACGGTAAAATCAGTGCCCCATATGATGGAAAAACAGAAAACAGTCATATCAGAAGCTATGGGAAACAGGCTGGCTTTGAAGCTCAGCATGCTCTCTGTACCTCCCAGAGTGGCAGAGAGAAGGAGGTGGGTGCCGTATTTCTTGATTAGACTCTCTGTAATCATGTGGAGGGTCGGCCTTCTCCCCAGCTGGCGGACAGTGTGCATGAAGTCTGGGTCGAGGGGCAAAGCCAAGCCACCACTGCCACCAAAACCATCTCGTTTCTCCACTGCCAGGCTGTTGACCTTCCATCGACCAAACTCCCTGGAAACACACACATTTGCACAAGTTTTAGGTATTTTGTCCTTAATGGCACAAAATGTTTGGTTGTGTTTGGTTTAGCATGAGGTTCTGTAACTACTGTACATGTAAAATGTGCAGAATGTATTCTTGGATTCTTAAAAAAAAATAAGCAGTGGTGGGCACAGCTAACCAAAATGTTAGCTTTGCTAATGCTAAACTGCTAAACGGCTCAAAATAATTTGCGGAAGCTAATGCTAAGAGCTAACTTTTATCATCGCTGACACTAGAAAACTGTCTGTAATGTGACAATGTTGTAAGTGCACCAACATTCATTGTCAGAGTCAGAGTCAGAGTCAGAGTTTCTTTATTGTCATTCGCACCTCATGTGGTACATGTGGTGGAGCGAAATTATGTACACAGGGTCCCAGTTACATCCAACAATAAAATGTATAAGAAAAACAGTAATAACATCTAAGATATGAACTAAGAAAAACATCAACTAAATATACACTAAGCACTCATAACATAAAACATTGAACATCACCACAAACATGAACATGAGTCTGTGAGCAGATGTGCACGCATGAACACATCAACATTGAAACAGATCAGCAGCAACATGAAACAGATCAGCAGCAACATGATATGGTTTTTCACAGTGATTATTCTAGTTAGAGATTCATGAGTCTAACAGCCTCAGGGTAGAAGCTGTTCCTCAGTCTAGTGGTTCTACACTTAATGCTCCTTAACCTCCTTCCTGAGGGGAGTGGGGCAAAAAGTGTGTGTGCTGGGTGGGTGGGGTCCTTCATGATGCAGGTGGCCCTCTTCCTGCATCTGGAGGTGTAGATGTCTGTGATGGTGGGGAGACTGATTCCGACAGATTTCTGTGCAGCCTTCACCACTCTCTGCAAAGCTTTTCTTTCTGCAGCTGTGCAGCCTCCATGCCACACATTGATGCTCGAGCACAGGATGCTCTCCACTGCACACCTGTAGAAGGAGGTGAGGACTGAGCTTCCCAGACCAGCTCGCCTCAGCCGTCTGAGGAAGTAGAGTCTCTGATGAGCTTTCTTGATCAGGCTGGTGGTGTTGTTGCTCCAGCTGAGGTTGTCATTCATGTGTACACCCAAGTACTTGTAGCTTTGTTCACCAAATCCTTCAGTTCGTGCAATTTATTTGTGCAGTAAACGAGTGACACATTCCAGCAGCAAGCAGCACATTCACTAAACATAAACGCGAGGCATCATTCTTTCATTAGTATTATAAAGATTTTAAGGACACCGAGCATTTGGTCTATGAAAAGATTGAAATAAAAATTGTGGAGTTTATCAATTAATGTAAAATAAGAGGGAGATTTAAAAACCAAATACATAAACATCATAGCTGTAACAGAAAGACAATTAAATTGTGTCTAGACAACACTTTTTTATTGATTCACTCATCTTCACTCACAGAGTCTCACTTTCTTTCTTACAACTTTGGTGGGGTGGGGGGTCTGGGGCTCCTCCCCCAGAGAATTTTGAATGAAGTAAATGAATTCTGGTGTATTTTACAAAGGTTTATTACATTAGATTAACATGAAACAAAAGATGTAAACTCAATTATTATTGTAATCTCTGAGTGCAAAGTGTTCCTAATGCAACACTGCTGCAGCTCTGCAGGTAAGGGACGTTCACTTCAGGACAAATTGAGGTCACAGACTGGTCAGTTGCTGACGTGCCTACTGGACTGATTGACAGGTGGTGCAACTCGTGAAAAAAAAAAAAAAAAAAAAGATTTTACTGGTCCGTTCAAGACTATCGTCATTTATTCCATATTTATTCAGTATTTTGGTGAATTTAAGGTTTGAAAACTGTTTCCTTACAAAATCCTAATGATGGTTTATTTATTTTTCACGGGTGCAGAGTTAAAATTTAGTTGCTTGAGCACCTCCAAAAAGAGGCTAAAGTCACCACTGAAGCCAGTTCTTATTTATAATTTACTTTTAAATGCTTGATGTGTGATTTATAAGTGTATTAAGTGCAGTATCACAGTTGTTTTGTATCCCACACCCCGGTCAGGTGCACCTCCTCATCCTCCTCCCTGTTCCGCATCGTGGGACAACAAGCGCTGCTCTAAGTTTTTGGCCACACTTAGAAAAAAAAAAAACTGCCTAATATTTAGAGCTTTGTCACTGACTTAGAAAATAGTTGCTCTCAATCCCGCTCTTGCTCAATTCAGAAAAGCGTCCTGGTCGTTCCGACATCACTTCAAATCCTCTGACTGCAGACAAAAAGCTTCATGATGAGCCGAGACTGTCTCTTTTTTGCAGTTCAAGTGAAAGTACAGATAACGTTATTCACACATCAGATTGTTCACAAAAGTGCAGGAACTTATGCACAGTGCAAAATGTTTAATTATATTTTTGTGTTTTTTAATAAAATTGCCCATGACGTTGAACTTTTAGGGCAGACATTTTTTTAAGAGCAGAAGCAAATGTGCAAAGCGACATCTCTAATGTGATATTAGGAAACTCATTATGTTTAAAATTAGTGTTTATGCCATTATTTTCACTTTACATATCCACTATGTTTTACTCATTCAAGGCAGTCAAATTTGTTCATAACTTTATTATTATTAAGCCCGAGAGTTACCGGATCCAAGCAAACAGTTACCGAAACACACGCTGTCAAAATAAGAGAGTTCCCGGATCCTGTTTCGGCAGGATCCGGTTCCAATTCAGCACCATTCTTAGTCAAGTCTGATACTGTATGTGTTGTACCACGCTTGTCAGTTAATTCAACAATTAAATGACATCTCCAACGAGATAGGAACCAGCAATCCCTAACCCCTATGATCATGAACAATAAAGGGAATAGTTTGGATCATGTAAAGGGCCAATATGTAGAGTCGTTATACTACCTCATCCATCCATTATCTTTACCCGTTTATTCCATTTTGGGTCACAGGGGTCGCTGGTGCCCATGTCCAGCAATCACTGTGCGAGGGGCGGGGTACACCCTGGATGGGTCGCAAGTCCATCACAGGGACACATAGAGACAAACGAGACAAACAACCATTCACTCTCTCACTCACACCTAGGGACAATTTAGATTTACCAATCAGCCTAACATGCATGTTTTTGGTCTGTGGGAGGAAACCGGAGTACCCGGAGAAAACCCACGCATGCACGGAGAGAACATGCAAACTCCACCCAGAAGGCCCCTGGACCGGGGTTTGAACCAGGGACCTGTTTGCTGAGAGGCAGCAGCTCTACCAGTTGCGCCACCGTGCTGCCTCGTTATACTACCTGTTGGATAAAAAGATGATGTTTTCTGACCAGATTAACAAATGAACAGTTAGTTGTTGCAAGACCAGGAAAACAATGGATTGCTGCTTTCTTAAAACACATCTAATCTAAAAAAAATTAAAATAAAAAAAAATTCCATAATGCAAACACTATTTTTTAAACCTTTATATTACTATACCATTAAAGTTTTGCTGCACTTTTATTCCTGCAGAAGTTAAGATTTCTGTTTAAATTGCTCCAGGCTGCACTAGATGTGCTGATGCTGTTGCACTTACACATAATCACAGAGGTCTTCATAAATAATTGTGTAATACAATACTGACAATGAAGTAAAGGTTTATAAAATAGCATTTGCATGAACCAGTTTGAAACATGAGAATAGAGTTGTTTTAAAATGGCAGCAGTTCAGCATTCTTGGCCCCATCCTGACAGGTTTGTAACTTGTCAATCTGGTCAGAATTAAACTTGTTTCACCAAATTCAAAAGGTTTAAAGAGACTTATTATTCACAATATTTCCATAATCTCCACTTCTTAAGAACCACACTGGGACATTGAGTTTCTCCAATAAACAAGAGAGTGAAAATGGAGTCTACGATTTCAGGAAAAAAAAGAGACAACAACAACATTATTTCAGACTTCAGAACAGTTTTTCTTCTCACTTTAGTTAATTCTGACATAGCATCTACTCAGAAAAAGTAAATATTATTTAAATTTTGCTTAATAAAACAAACAAACAAAAACATATTTTTTAAATTAATGTATGTACTTTAAATACAATTTTTATTAAATAAGCATAAAATAAATTTATACAAATAGGGCCTCATTTGTTGAGTTTTCTCTATCACTTAGCTAAATCTACCGTATTTTTTGCTGTATTAATCACGTTATATTTAAAGATAATTTACACGCCCTTCGACTTATATGCCAAAGAAACTTATGCATGGTTTCCCATATTTATAAACAATTTTTTGGCTAAGATATGACCGTTTTCATTAATTATGGCTGAAAATATTGAACACTACCATTTTCAGCCGCTAGATGGCACTCGAGCAGTATGGTATGCCGTTGTGTCATGCAATAGGTAAAAGCAGCTATTAATGACACAGTTGGCTTACCATAGACTGCCAACATAAAAGTAAAAGTTAGACTGAGACACACCTTTGCTATAAAGTCGAGCAAACGAATAATTGGTTTTAGGTGGTTATCTTGTTAAATTTCGAAGAAATGGACAGCGACTCGTCTCTTTGCGTTCACCTTTCCACATATCAGCTTTTGAAAATGCAGCTGATTTGACCATCAAAGTTAATTTATTAAGGAAAAGTTAGACTGAGACACACCTTTGCTGTTATTTTGAGCAAAGAAATAATTGTTTATGTGTTAATCTTGTTAAATTCTTGTTAAAATTCTCCCGTGCATGCTCCCGTGGCCGCCATTTGGCAGCCAATCGATTTTTTGGCACAACATCAGCCCACATTTCCAGGTTGTCAGCGGTGATGCGTAACAACACGACGTATATGGCGAAGCAACATATTTATGGATTTTTCCACTTTATTAGACATTCGGACTGATGCGACTTATAAGGCGGCGCAACGTTTATGGAGGAAAATACTATAGATGAGTTCCAGCACTTTGAGTGAAACTCTGCTCCTCCTCTGTTTTCATTTCAACTCAAATCTCTGTCCTCAGCAGCAGATTCACTAAGCCATGCTTTTTAAATCAAGTATAAAACTGGGAACCTTCTTTTTTTTTAGCTTTTAAACAAAGAAAAGTCTCCAAATTTTCTATTGGTCAATGTTTACGCTAAGATAATGTTTTGTCTACTATATCTTTTTATTTGGGTTATAAAGGTGAGAAAAGCATCAGGACCATCATATCACATGTATTTGACTTAAAATACATTTTTAAAACAATGATAAAACTAGCAGGAAGATGTGATGAAGGGGTTAAACTGGAGGATGGGTTTAACTCGTGTTAAGAGCTCAACATGTCGACAGTTTGAGCAACTGTGATCACAGCACGTGCTCAGATGTGATTTTTCTCTCCTTCGAAACACAAATGTGTATTTCTGTCATTGAAATGGCTAATTCAAATCAATAAAGTAACACTAGCAATGTAGTGCAATGCTAATGAAAACATGTGTAAAAGCATAAAACAAGCTTGCATCATCAGCTGTCATGATTTGTTGCCCTTAAGTCAGACGTCTTGCTTAGCTCATGTAAAACCCTCGGGAGCCCCAGTTAGAGCACCTTGCCCACGTCACCACCTGCTGCTATGTGCACATCCTTCTCCTGAGGCCAACAAATCACTACCTCGAGAAAAACGATAGACTGAAAAATAATTGGGTGAACTGGGACAGTGTGCAGCGTGTCATTACAGGCAATCATTGGAACAAAAGGACAGGATGAGTATCTGTCTCTGCGGGAGTGGAGTGGTTAGCCTACAGCAGTTTTATCAGCATGTTTATGTGGCTAACAGGAGAGCTGTCAAAACGTGCTGCTTTAGGAAGAACGAGAACTTTGTTTGTACAAAAGTGAATTCTTTTTGGAATGGTGAAAAGGTTTCTAAAAGGTGCAAAGGGGAGCTCAAACTGACAACTTAATCATAAGCTGTCACATGACTGCTGGCCACGCTCACTGTGGCTTTACAGTGATCTTACACTTTAATCCCTTAGGCTACTTAACAGGACTGGAGGAAAGATCTACAGCCAAACTCTGAGGGAACTAGGTTAAATATGGTTCACATTTATTTACATACGTATACATGTTTTTAGTGTTTCTTCTTATCTAATACACTACAGGGCTAATCAGCTAAACTGCTCAGGAGGGACCACGGTTTCTGAAAGCCAGCAGCTCAGGGGCCGGACATCCAGCGATTAAAGTCATTATGTAAATAAACCATAATGATCTGCTACATTTTTTTAATTTGTTTGTTTTATTGCATTGAATCATAAATGTAATAAACAGAACACAAACCCAGAACCCCCCAGAATGTATTTTTACATTTTTTAATTTTTTAATGAACTCATTCGTGAGCCGGACTGAAGTCACCCACGGTTACCAATCAGTCTAACATGCATGCTTTTGGTCTGTGGGAGGAAACCGGAGTACACGGAGAAAGCCCACGCATGCACGGAGAGAACATGCAAACTCCGCCCAGAAAGGTCCCAGGCTGGGATTTGAACCAGCGACCTTCTCTCTGAGAGGCAGCAGCTCTACCAACTGCACCATGGTGCCGCCCGCTTTGGAACCCCCATTTAAATTAGATAGAAACATGAAATTTATTTGGAAATAGCAAACTATGACTACATATGATGCATGTTGTGTTGTGGTGTAGATAAAACTTCCACATATAAAGCAACAAGATTTTTGTGAAACAAGTGAGAAAACTCACTATTAGAGCTCTTTAGCCGAGTCATGCAGTATATATCATCAGTCATATAGTGAAAATACTTAAACTCTAAATGAGCTGCATAAAGTTGGACTTTACTCGACTGAACATATTAGCACATATTTAAAGTTGTTGTTTTTTAAAAACACATTTGTATATGTGTTATCGTTGTTAAAAGTATTATTACACAATGATCAACTCAAAGTGTGATGATGTCACATGCTCTAACTTTTGAGCGGTCTGAACTTTCCTGAATAAATTTTGAAATCTAACTCGTATCATTTGGCTCAGGTGGCTAAAAAGAAGCTCTCAGCTCTCAAAAATGTCTCCTTACAGCTCGATGTGAGGTGCCGTTTGCAGCTGAAGGAGCTGAGTCTGAATCAGATCCCGATGGCCCTCAACCAGCTCCAAAAAGATTTTTGATGGCCATATCGCCCGTCACTATATTTAGAGCTATCTAAGCTTTAAAATAAGATTTGCTAACTTTTTCTCTTCTTACAAATTTTACACTTCTTATACATCTAAACCAAAATACTTTGTCTTCTTTCGACCAATGTGTTGCTTTAGAAAACAGGACTAAGAGTTTTCACTCAAATCCTCCGATGATGATGATGATGAATGATGGAGAGTGTAGAATGCTCACATCTTGATTTCCATTGGCTTCCATTTAATCTGAGCTCTTAGCTTATTTTATTTTTCTCCTTTCAAAACTGGAAGTAAAAGGTTTCTTTGGGGAAGCTGTGGCTGAGTGGTTAGAGCAGTCGTCCTCCAATGGGAGAGTTGGGGGTTTGATTCCACCAGCAGTCACATGTTGAAGTGTCTCTGGGCAAGACACTGAACCCCTCATGGCCTCTGATGTGTGTCAGTGTATGACTGTGATTAAGCTCTGATTATTATTTGTTCAGATCTAGTAGAGTGCTGTATGAATGGGTAAATGAGGCACAGGTTGTAGTGTAAAGAGCTTTGAGTGTCTTGATCAGAGTTTTTGCGCAGTGACTGTTTACTTGCAGGTTATTTTCTAGTTTGCGTCTGTTATTTTAAGAGCTGTCAAGGAGTGACAGACACAGGTAAGATCGTTGCCATGGTGACTCTAATGAGCCACTGGCTGCAGCTTTAACATTCTTTTTCTATCCGTCCTCCTTGATCAGTTTAATACTTGAAAACATTGAAACGTGGTCATCTTAGATAATTACTAAAACAAGTTTAAAATTACTGTTGGGGCTTAGAGAACAAAGATAATGTAAGATAGAGCTTCAGGAAGTGCATTGGAATATTCCGATGCAGAATTTTCCAGCTTTTTATAACTGTAAGGAAACATCAGGGGATGACTTGTGGCTTCACAAGTTGTTTTTACACAGTTCAACTTTTTGTCATCCTTTAAAAAATGTCATTTGTAACTCTCCCAACAAGAAGGTGTCTTGAAAATGTGAGCGGTCGGCTCAAAGCAAAAAGAACTCACAGCGTAAAAAACCTGAAAGAATAAAGAGTCAATAGGCCGACTCTGACGTTGTTCATCTGTAACTGTCCAAACTGCCTGCGCCTTTGATTTTTCACTAATTTTGGATAAGAAGAAGCGTGAAGTCAGGGGAATGTTGGAGCTGATGCAGCAGAGACATAAGAAATAAATCAAAACAATGCAAGTCTGACTGAAAGATAAACACCACGGCCTAAAAAGATTCTTGAGATAGTATAATGGAGCGATTGATTTATTCGCTTGCAGATGCATGCTAAGTATTTTTTTCCGCTTGGCTGAACTCTTGGCAGTGGTCACCACAGAAAAGCAGCAGCCTTGTCTTCAGCCAGACCCCACGAGACAACAAAAACTGTGACAAATATCTAATCAGTGGTTCAGACCATGCTGCGTGTGTGTGCAGGCAGGAGTGATGGAGGAGACGGTTAACGCTCTTAACAGCTGCATCAGAGCAGGGTTTGAACACTTGGACAAAGGTGACAGGGGCTATACTGTTAATGCAGCTGCAGGAAGTCAATGGGTGCACCACACTCTGTACTGGGAATAACTCCTGGTTTTCTTCAGCATGGGGGTCACGTTTGAAACATCAGCAGCAACAAACCCATCATGTGGTCTAAAAACACCAGAGTCAAAATGCAAGAATGACAGTTTGCAGTAGAATACTTAAAGAGAAAAGAAAAGGGGCACATGGCTCTGCAGGCGCCTGAGAGAGAGCACTGGATTTGTTTAAATAAAGCTTTTTGCAGATAAAAGTGATTGCAGTCATCCTGCACATTTAAGGAAAAGGAAAAGACAATAAACGTGCACGTGAAGGTCTCACCTATAGATCTTGTAGCGGGTGCTGAAGCCCTGCTGGTACCTCTCCAGCGCCTCCTGGAACTCCAGGGACCGGTGGAAGGGCCCTTTATCGGACAGCAGCCACTCCAGCGAACCGCCGCCCGGTCCGGCCGCCCCCGAGGAACAGCTGCAGCAGAACCACAGACTCAGAGCCACCCCCTCCCACAGCAGAGACAGCCGCTTATGACTGGTCCTCTGACGGCTCATGCTTCACCCAGCGACACCTCATCCTCTCCGGGCTGGGAGGAGAGCAGACATCATGGGTGGAGAAGTGGCGCCTGGCGCAGATGTCTGAAGACAGTGGGGGGGTTACGACTCACATCCGGCCGAAGAAGTAAAACCATAAAGAAAAGCCGAGAAAAGGGATTGAAGACCTGAGAGACGCGCGCGGTGCGTGAACCTGCCCGAACTGAAATGATCCAGTCTGGTCTTCCAAGCGCCAAATGGTTTTCTCATAAACTTTTGTTCTGAAAACTAGTCTTCAGAGTCCAGGGTCTCCTTCAGAGTCCAGGTTCTCCTTCAGAGTCCAGGTTCTCCTTCAGAGTCCAGGTTCTCCTTCAGAGTCCAGGTTCTCCTTCAGAGTCCAGGTTCTCCTTCAGAGTCCAGCTGCTCCCCTCTGAGAAGAAGTCCCTCGTCCACCGGAGTTCAGGAGGTCCGTGCGCTCCGAGACGTCTCAAAGCTGAAGCGCTGAGCACATTTCATCCTGCTGCTCCGTTTGCTTCTTAATGCAGCTGCTCAGGAATAAACAAATTACTTACAAAAATAAAAAAATAAACATGGAGTTTAATTTGATGGGCTTGTGTGTTCTCTAACCCAGTGAGCTGCTGGATGCATCTCCCGCTTCAACAAATTGCTTTTCTTCCTCGGGAGCAGGAGGGCGAGCAGTGCATCCTGATGAGGAGGGGGTACAGTGATCACTGGGTGCTCACAAGTTTTTCAGGAGCGCGCGCGCGCGCGCGTGGTCCGATGATGCTGCATCAGGACTGCCTCCATCATTCATCGTTAGCTTCACCTAGTCCTTATAATTAAGACTGCCAATGCGTCGAAGCGCTCGGCTCATATTGTTTCCTCCTCCCACAGCTTTTGGAATAAATAAAATAAAATAAATTACATCAAAACACGAAACTGGATAACGAATCGTGCACTATCACTTTTGGCAGCAGCATACGGGTGGATACAAAAATGGTAAAAATCTAAAATGTCCCCATTTTTAACTGGGACTTGGCTGAAATGGATGAAGTCAGCTCTGTTTGGAGATCAGTAAAGAGATCTGCTGAAGTTTAAACTGATCACAGAAAGTTGGACTGCATGTCTGAGTTGGCATTTTGATATAACAGTTTTTGCACAATCACAGTTTAGGGATACAACATTTTTTACTGCTGTGATGTCATATTTTAACTTTGAGCTGACTGAATCTTTCATTATTTTTACAGCCTTAAACTTCGCACCTCCTAATTATTCCAACATTTTTCAGTCAGGTCATCTGGACAGTTTCTTTTTTGTGCTGAAACGTTTCACCTTCCATCCAGAAGGCTTCATCAGTGAAGGAAACACACAACACAAAACTGATTCTTCCCCCAACAGCTCACTACAAAACCAACAAAGTCCATGCTCAATAATCCAGGTATACAATCCAACAATTTTCAGTCAGTTTTGAACCAGTTTGATATGACAGTCGATGAGGAAGAGGGGCTGTGCCAAAGAGACCATCTTAGCACCAATATAACTGGTTTGTTCCACTTTGGAGTAAGCTGTAGGGGGAAGAATCTGTTTTGTGTTGTGTGTTTCCTTGACTGATGAAGCCTTCTCAATGGAAAGTGAAATGTTTCAGCACAAAAATAAAAAAGAAACTGTCCAGATGAACTGACTGAAAATTGTTGGATTGTATATCTGGATTATTGAGCATGGACTTTGTTGCTCCCAATTATTATTTCAAAATGTAGGCATTTTGTTTTCATACACATGTCTCTCACTGGGTGTACAGTTTTTTTCTCTGACCCCTGCAGAGTGCACCCACCCAAACTTGCACAGACTTCCATTCTGAGCTCAAAATGTGACTTTCATCACCCAGAGCTGATGTGTTTGATGAACAAACAGCCTCTCACAGTTCAGGATCATTCTCCAATCAGCACTTTGGTTGGCCTTGTTGCTGTTTTAAGTGCTTTATACATAAAGTGGTATGGTGGGGGAGAGATTAGAAAAGGTGGGCTCGTGATCAGAAGGTCACCAGTTCAACTCCCTGGACCGACAACATCAAAATGTGGGTGGGATAGGTGAAACACCCACACCTGCCTCCACCTGTCACAATTGGTGCTGGTGAACCCAGTTGTGCAGGCAAGCAGGCAAGTACTCAGGGGATATATACAATAAATAATTTATTAGCAAAACAAAAGAGCTGATGGGACAGCAAAAACAAACAAGGAGGAATAGGAGGTATTCACACAATGGACAGGTCATCACCGGTGAACAGTAGACAATGCCAGGACAAAGACTAACACAGAGACACAGACTTGTATACAGGAAACACCAATCAGACAAAGTGATGGCACCTGTAAGTAATCAAAGACGCCAGAGACAGAGACTGAAGATGCAGGACATAAACACGACACTAGATGGGGCTAGACACCAAAGAAACACAAATCCTTCAGAGACATATGAAGAAGGGAGCAGCCAAAAGAAGAAGAAAAATAAAATAAAGTGGTATGTTAATAAGACATAATTTGGGCACAGTGACTCTTCAAGGCTTGAGTTTTCTTCTGTTTACTGTCTGTCTCTGCCAAAGAAGGCAAAAGAGTGATGATGTTTGCGTGTGTGCGGACATGTTTGAGCAAAATATGTCATGAAGCACAACAAATTTAACAAGTTTTATGTCTACAACTGATCAAATGTTAAAGACAACTCAATTCAATATGGTCGCCACTGCTAATCAGTTCTAGCCACCAACAAAAATGTCTAAATCCATCCATCCATCCGTCCGTCCGTCCATCCATCCATCCATCCATCCATCCATCCATCCATCCATCCATCCATCCGTCCATCCGTCCATCCGTCTGTCCGTCCGTCAGTCCATTATCTTCTGCTTGTTACAAAGTCAAGTCACGGGGGCAGCAGCTTGAGCAGGGAGGTCCAGACATCTCTTTCCACAGTCGCCTCTTCAAGCTTTTCTGGGAGGACTCCAAGGCGTTCCCAGGCCAACAGAGAGACATAGTCTTTCCAGCATGTCCTGGGTCTCCTTCCAGTTGGACCTGCTACCTCCCAAAAGTGTTCAGGTAGCATCATTATCAGATTCCTGAACCACCTCTGGCTCCTCTCAATGTGGAGGAGCAGCGGTTCTACTCCGAGTCTGTCCCAGACAACTGAACTTCTCACCGTAAGGGAGAGTCCAGCTACCCTGCAGAGGAAACATTTCACCCACCTGTATTTGTGATCTCATTCTTTCAGTCACTGCCCGGCGTTCATGATCATATAGGAACATTGACAAAAATGTCTGGATCAAATTGCAAAATTACACTGAACTAAAATTCAACGTAGTGGTAGCTGTGAGTCATCCTCAATCCATACTCTGAGTACTACATATTGCTCAAAATCTTCGCTATAAATTGTGGCATTGAGTGTTGGGTTCAACCTTGTTTGTATGTTAACAAAATATCTTAGAACCACTGGACATATTTTTAATAAAACTTTCAAAAAGTAATCACAAAATTTACCTTTACTGTTTAATAAATTTGAAGATACCTCAGTTCAAGAAGGTCAACACAGCTGCTCTACCTTAGGTTGAACTAAAACAACTTACTCCGTCAGTTCTAAAGATACTGCTCTAAAATTTGATGTGGTAGAGCTATCCATAATACTTAATCCAGTGCTCGTATCTTTTAATATCACATGAGGTTACACAAAAGGTTTTTTCCTCATCATAAGAGGATTTTTGGTTCCACCTCTGGCAAGTTTATTTTAATTTTTATTAATATTACTGTCAAGGAGTGAGACACGTGTTCAGTTTATATGGTTACCCTCATGAGCCGCTGAGTTTCATAAAAGAAAGTTGATGTATGATGGAATAACAGTACATTTCAAAATGAATTCAGATTTTTTTTTTTTGTTTATTTTTACATCATCATGTTGCAGTTTAAGTGTTATATGGATTATGTTAATGGGTTAATTATTATGCTACACTTGCTGTCTTTTAAAGTGTTGTGTCACAGATTCAGAGACTGCAGCCTGCACAACTAAAAGGTCCACGTTTCCCTCATGACGAGCACACTTGTGAGTGTGAAAAACTGCAATTAACAAGAAACAGATTTTGGTTTGTGATGTAGGTTCAGCGGTGCACTCAAGTCTGTTCTCCCCTAAGTGGTGTAATTTGCACAAAAATGTTATTTCTTCATTTAAAAGGGTGCTTAAACTCAAAATTATGCAAACGAAATCTGTGACCTTGAACTTGTAAATAATGTTGCCTCAACCCTCGTACCAATTTTCAAGCAAATTCTCATTATTTTTGGCATTTCTCCCAGGAAGTGGTGAGTGAAACAGAGTTATAGGATGGATGTTGATTTGATTTTTTTTTTTTTTGCCCCTGCCTTTCTTTTGGCAACATCACAGCTACTTGAAGTGATATTCCGCCTAAAAAAAGCTGAATGGTGCAAAGAGGAAAGTAGTAGCCTTTAAATTGGTTCCAGAGGTGAGCATCGGGGCCTGGTACAGGTGATTAGTTACTCCTTTGTCTGTACTAAAAGATCAATTCTATGGACAAAAAGTATTTTCCTGATTCTTTTATCAAACCTAATATTTGCTATAAAAAAATCTTTGTTTCATCTTGCCATTATGTTTGTCACTAACACAGAAATGCTAATTGACAAAGACCTTGTGTTAAATGAACTGCACAGTTTCTTTCATCCAGGAAGGAGTCAAATCAATAGACTGTTTCCATTGATTCCCTTTTTAGGTTATTGTTATTTGGCCCCTAAGGCCATCAGTGCTTTTTTTTTTTTTTTTTTTTAATTACGACAATTTGTCAGTCCGATAATGAGGAAGCCATAATGTCTGTTGTCTCCATCAGTTCTGGAGGAAACTGTTGGAAATTTAAAGCAGAAGGCAGTTTCCTTGTTATCTGTCAGGAGAAGGATCGACTTCCCCAGGTAGCTGATCTTGACATTTGTGACATGTATCACTGATAGAGAAGCCCGTGTTTGCTGGAGCAGTAAAAAGAA